CTTCCCCACATCCCACTGGAGGGGGAGTGAGCCTGTGTGGTGCTTAGTTGCCAGCTGGGCTTAAACCATGACAAGGCTGTATTAGCCAGAGCTATAAAAGGTATCTTTTTAACATCACTTTTGATTTAAATGACCTGAAAACTCCTCTGACACATGACAGAGTGTTTCCCATCCAGCTTCATGAAGTTTTGTTTGTAATACAGAAGCTTCTCAAGTTTGTCTCATACTATATTCTTTTTGTAACTAAATGACAGGGGCAGGAAAGAAGATTCTCATGTGTGTGCCTTCTCCAAACCAAGGCCTGGGGGACCATTTACACCTGAATTGTCCTTAAACACTCCCCCAAAGGCTTTTCTCACCAACACAGCCACAAGACTGTGTTACATGGATTCTTGGCCTGACTCAGTATGACTGCTGTTGTTATGCTCGGACACCCTGCTGCTTCTATTCAGGAAGCAAAAGGAAATGGTCTGCATTTTTGAGTTTTTTATTAAGGGTGGTCATTTTTCATTTCTGTTACTTGCATTCTTATAAATCTTTTCAAACCTTTCTTTGAGATACAGGAAATTCTCTTTTTCTTTTTACTCCTCCTGAGTAAAGGTTGATCTGAAGTAACTGGGTAAAATCACACATTCCATCCTTGCAAGGGTGGCAGTCCCAAAAACCAGAACACAGAGGCATTAACTACTGTTTAACACAGTACTCCAAGCTGTCTGAGACTTTGCACATGACAGTTTAGCACAGGGATGTGAAAGAAAGCAATGTATTTTAGTGATGACTTATGTCCAGCCAAGCTCTCTAGAAAGGTGGTATAGCTGTGAAAAACATAAAGATTTCAAGAGGGTAATTAAAAATCTTTGCTCAGGGCATTTTGGAAGGTTCCTACTGGGTCCAGTGACAGGACCCAAGGGAATAGCCTGAAGTTGTGTCAGGGGAGATTTAGATTGGATATTAGAAAGAGGTTCTTCAGCCAGGGGGTTGTTGGGCACTGGAATAGGCTCCCCAGGGCAGTGGTCACAGCACCAAGCCTGACAGAGTTCAAGAAGCATTTGGATGATACTCTCAAGCACATGGTGTGACTCTTGGGGATGGTCCTGTGCAGGGTTCAGAGTTGGACTCAATGATCCTTGTGGGTCCCTTCCAACTCAGTATATTCTGTGATTCTGTGAAATATAGATTACTTTCATTTACAATTTACCATTAATTTGCATGTTTTAAGTGCTACTTACTGTGTTTACCCATATTTTTATATGTGACTTTAGACATGCTTAGTGCGAGAAGAAATAATCCCCATATGCAACACTTAGATAATCCTTCTAATATGGAAAATCTTTTCCAGTCACTTAAATTTAGCATACATGCAGACCTACCAACTCCAAAAAGAGACATGTGTCTTGCCTGGATTATTGGTAATTAATACAGTCATAACATCCCTTCAGGCAATGCACAATAAGCTAAAATGTCATGGTTTGTAAGCTTGTAGTCACAGTGTACAACAAATATACAATCAATTTGTATTTAAATGTCCCAGACAGATAGTTTTTGCCTGGCAAGCTGAAGATGTGTTCAGCTGAGGAAGTGGGGAATCAGAACTGAGGAACATGTTGATGTGAGAAAAATTCAAAGGAAATGCAGGATATTCACGACAAAATGCACTGGGAAATGCTCAATCACCTCCCTGTTCCCTCATCCTTTTTTATAGAGGCATCCTAGTATACTACTTTAGTGAAAAATGATAGAAATTCATCACAATGTATGCAATGTATTTGGGCCTGACATGACAAAAAGTAAACAGAACTTTTCTAACACTTCATCAATTTCTGTGAATGTGCAGAATTTACTCCTTGCTTGATTTGCCATCTGGATAGGAAGCTAAACAGGTAGTTATTGTAAACTAGCACCTGAAAAAGCTATCCTTCTCTAAACATTTTTCATAGAAAAGTCCTTTGCAAGTTTATAGTAAAAATTTGCACATGAATTGACACACATTTCATAGCTGATGCTGTGAGAAATAGTTGTTGCCAATATTAAGATGCATGATCAAATGTAAATGCAAACTCCTATTACATTTCTTAAAGAGAGCAAAGTGGTTATTTAAAAGAACACTTTTGTATACAGCTAGAAAATTTAATATTCTGTCTGCACAATTTATCTATATACATAAGCTAAAAATATGCATTCCTGAGAACTATTCATTCAACTTTAATAGAGTAGAATTTTTATATGTAAATATGAGTTTAAAAAGATGTAATTTTAAAATCCTATTACTGTATTTTCCCAAACACTATAGCTGTTAATGCTGTTCATTTAATTTTTCTTTTAATTAAACAATATTCAGTAGTCTCTGAGCTCTGATTTTGAAGCACAGTATCAAAACTGTCCCTAAGTCACAGGTTAGCTCTTCCATTACCACAAGCAGCTGTGTTGTATACGCTTTCTACAAAAAAGCCAAACTCCATGTTAAAGGAATTTTTTTTTATTTTTGATTGATAGCCACACTGCTATAATTGAAACCATGAACCTCATGGTTCTCATGGTTAGAATCCATATTTCTAGCTTGTATCCACTTGTTTGCATTACTTGTTTCTACCCCATGGTTACACTTTCAGGAGAAAAACCCATATTCTTTATTGTCCTTTATTTTTCTCAGCTAATGAGGTTCTTGTAAATATTCTCTATTTCCATCAACTGCCAAGTAGGCCTTCTTAGCACCTGCTCACTGGTCCTGAAAATTGATTATCAGAATTGTACACATTCTTATTAATAAGGTCACTGTACAATATTTTGACAGAGTATTAGTATTTTCATCTCTCTGTTGGCAATTATTTACCTACATCACCCTCACAATACATCTCCCTTTTTTCAGCACAAGGCACTGATGGTTCCTAGACATGGTGTGATCAGCAGACATTCACAGATCTTTATCACCTTCAGTCATTTCCAGAGATGTGGTCTCTCTAAATCTAACATTAAAATTCCAATAATATGTGTTGTGGCCCAAATAATCTGATTTCTGTATGTTCTAAGAACATAGTACTTGTGTTGATTTGCATAGGATTATCAGTTTCCAGGGTCAGGCCAAAGGAAATTCCAGGTCACTGCATGTAAAGTATTTCTGATAAGAAGTGTAAATTTACAAGAATATCAGGTTTGCCAGGTAAGACTGAACATATGCACTGAATCCAGATGACCTGAGCATCCAAATAACGTAAATGCAAGTCAGAATCAGAATTGATTCAGGTCATCTGTTGGCAAGGGGATGCAGTTGCTCTATAAAATTTTTAGGGCTACAAAACCTTCTCTCTGTTTGCAGTTACATGACCTACGAGAAAAAGGATGCACTACTCTCGGGTAAATGTTTCCCAGTTTCACGCCATCCATCCCGGGTTTTTAGCCAGCTGCTATGCTATTCCCATTACACTACAGGTTGCTTTGCAACCAAGTCAAATTTAAATATTAGTTTAGTTCCTAATCATATTTGGATGTTACCAAAAACACTCCCTCATGATCACATGGAGGAAAAGTGTTCACAAGTTTACCTACCTGGCACAGTAAGAGACAGACAGCGATAAAATCTCACCCCATTCTAGAAAGGAGTTAAGGGCAAAATATGCTTCTACAACCTGCCCTCCCTAATACTGTCTCAGAGAAGAGTGGACTTAAAAAACCTCTACAAATCCCCATCAAAAGATCAGTTCAACATATCAGATTACAGTGCAAGAAGAAAGAAAAACAAAATAGGAGTAACAGACTAATTAATTAAATCTCATTGCCTTATTTGCTACTGGAAAGCATTTAGGCACAATATAATGGGGCTAAAATTAAGAACCTACTTTTGGAGTATCTTTATGTAAAAAGAAGAGATCTGAAATGGATGTTATTTTTTGAAACATTTGAATTCATAAAATGTGAACTGAACACATATTAGAAATCTATCTACAAGGGCACTGTATAAATTCTTAGTCTCATTTGTATCAATAAAAACATAGCAGCATTTCACCAGGTAGGTCTGTGTCCAGTAAAATACTTTAAACTCCCTTTACACTAGGGAGAAACTTGAAATCTTCAGTTTCATGGAAGTACTGGCAGCTGTCATTCTCTTTAAACACCAAATATGCTCACCTTGATATTCTCAGGAAATTTTCAATTTAATAAACTCTTCATAACAGACAAGTGTAAGCTAAACCAGAAGCCATTATTCATTAAAAACAGATATATTTTTATGAAAAAAGAATGTGGTATTCCACCTAAACATAATCCATAATAGAAGAATAAAATACAATTTTAAAAAGCAGCTAGAACAGTTAACGATTTGATAATTTTGAAACAAAGAAACAGAAGATTAAATAAAATTAATAGATGGATCACAAGGATACAAAGTAAAACAGAGTTATGCAAATAATTTTCTTGATGAGCTCAACACTGCAATGGAATTTATTTCACTAAATGCCACTTCAGAGTGACATGGCTCCATATGGATGTTATAATGCAGAAACCAGAAACAGCATTGTTCCCAACACAGAGACACAGAGGTCTCTTTCAATTTATCTCTCTTTAGACAGAAAGGAACTAGTAAAAATTACAAGCCAAATTACCTGTATCTAGGCTTAAAAACAAAGGCTTGGCCAGCATTGCATCAGTTTTGCTGGGCAATTCATGATGCTGGAGGCCCTGCACGTCACTTCCAGAGAAAAAGAATTCAGGATATGTCCTTCAGCCACCATCACACCTCCACACTGCATTAATAGGAAGGAGGTACTACACAGCACAGCAAAGCATAATGTATCCAGGAACTTGTTACAGATCTGCCTGAAAAGATACAGTTCTGGGCCTTCAATTAAGTTTTATTTAACTGTTCGACCAAGAGATTCCCTAAAAGATTATTCTGCAGGAAAACCTTATTTTGGCAACGTTCATAGCACCATATTCTTATAAATCAAAAGTTCTACAAAGAGCCACCACCACATTTTAGGTCTTAAAACATAATGTCATGTAGTTACCTGCCCCCATTATGAGCCCTGGTGCGGTGTCCTTTGTGTGGACTGTTCCCGACACATAGGGATTGTCTGCCCACCGGAGATGGAGGTGAAGGTAGCAATCAGGCTTTTGAGGGAAGAAAAAGACAACAAGTTTTACAAATAATAGCTAACAGTTATGCTCCTACAACAACGAAAGCCCAAAGAGAGAGAAGCTTCAGTAATGTTTGTCTTCACAGAGAAAAAGAATGGCTGTTTCCCGTGGTGCCAAATTCCAGTCTGAAATATCAACCTTCACTTTCTAACAAGAATCTCTGATGATGTCTGTGTAGTGTGCCATTGTTTCAACAAAAAGATTTCCATACTCAAAGAAGTCAGTGTGAAATTATTGTTTAAAACCCCCTTCTGACAGAATAATTGCTTAAAAATGCTAACTAACTAACAGCAACAAATATTGCATGTTTGTTGGTCCCAGGTAACCAGTAAAATGATGCTTAAAAACAACTGCTTGGACTGAAAATGTCTTTTTTAGTAAAAAAGTGGTATGAAAAATAGCTTAGCAACTTTTGGACACATCATCTCTCCTTCCTAAGCAACTTACTGTTTCTTGCCCTTTGTGCAGTGGCACTCAAACGTCATATTGTTCACAGCCATGAGCTTTACCAGGAGCAGGCTGCCAGCATCGCCTGGGAACCACTGCCACTGCAATCTTTCCACTCATCTCAAAATGATCTGGATCAAGCCCTGCAGACTTGAACCTTGTAGCACAGTCTTGAACTCTTCAAATAGGAACCGGCAGCTCCAGCCTTCCATTTCTGCCATGTGGAGAGGGAACAAAGCTCTGGCAGAGGCATTTATTTTGCCCACTAATGCAGAGCTTTGAGTACTCAGGAGCAGAAAGTCAGTGAGAAAAATACAAGGTTTTCAGTATAGTTTTGCAAATAACAAAAGACTATGGTAGCTGGGACATCTAAACAAACAGAAATAATATTGTCTTACAAAAAGAAAGGACTTTTTTGTGCAGGTGATTGTGGTATTTATTTTCGAGCAACTGCAAGAAGTTCCCTTTAACAGGGAACCTTGATTTAATATGAAAAAAATATGAAAGATGAAAAGAGAAAAATTATTGATAAACTCTATTTAACTCATTATATGACCCTTATATCCAGACACAAATGACTGTTGTCATGATTATTGTGAACTGGGTTGTGTGGTTGACACAAAAAAAAAAGTCCTCTTTGTGTCAAAGTGACCTAAAATACGAAATACAGTGCAGCAGAGAGCCCCAACTACTCACCCTACAAGATGACTGGACTAATAGCCTGTGAAAGCATAGCTCATGCAATACAAGTAGATTTGTCTTCTAGTTTGGCTGGCAAACTCAGCATAAAGCTCTTGGGCCGTTGGAACTATTGCACATACAGATAATTCTTGTGCACTTTATAGTGAGGATAAACAAAAAAGAACCACTTACAGGTTTGCAGTTTGTTGGTTTGCCATTCATATCAATGTCTGGAGGGTTTAGAAAATCCCAGTCACGGCCTTTGTTGTAGGTTATCAGAGTGGTAACTTTCCCATTAATTTTCTGGTTGGCCAGAAAAACTCCTTTTACACCTCTGACCTGAAGCATACAGGAGAGAAGTTAATATCCAGCACATACACATTTTTTCAACAAGGATTATCCCTGATTAGCTGCTCTTTTGTGGCTCTGAGCTGTGTCTCAGGTACTTTCTCCTGGAAACTGAATAGAAAGCTAATGATACCTTAAAAATATAGAAGGAAGGCAAAAAGACAAGAGGAAAGGGAGAAAGGGGGACAGGGAGGACAATTACCAATTGATTTGTATTTCTAAGTCTATTTAAAAAGTATATGCAATTCTCTCAATGTCAGAAGGCTAATCAAACTACATGTAGTTTATAAAGCAAAAATACAAAAATTACCATACCATGGCCTTACTGTTAAAATTACAGCTCTGCATTTTTTTTAAATATGGACATCTCTAAAATGCTATTTTACAAATGATGTAAGCAATTTTTAACAGACACCTGACTTTAACACTGAAGTCCTGTGACCCACATCATGTGAATAGCACACAAATAGGTTACAACAACAAAATATCCTTTAAAATAACACTGAATTAAAAAAAAAAGTTAAAAAAAAAAAAGGTTTACAGACTCACTCTTCCCTTGGGCTGTTATTTTATTTCAAAACAGCCTGTATCAGAAAATTATTACAACTCAAAGTGTCAAAGTTAATGGGGATAATTTTTAGAATCAACCTGACAGTAATTGCACCTTAATATGTTTAGTTCTAGCCCTAACATTTATTTTATTAACATATTAACATATATTCCACCCAAGGGCATGAGATAAGATCTTGTATTAAAATTGAAGGTTTCCTTAAGAGTGCTCTTATTTCCCTTGTGATTACTTATTAGATCTCTTGAATTTTTAAAAAATTCTGGAAATATATATCAATTCATATACCATTTCCAGCACAGTAGAGCTTGCTAATCTCCTTGGTGCTGACACTTAACAAAATCAAAGCGTTCATTACAAATAAATGCACAAGATAGCCAGCTCTTTAAATGATAAGGAATATTTGTCTCCTGATGACATGATGCATTCTTGAACTTTAATTTTTTATTTGAAATATTTACTGTTCTCTTTTTTTCCAACTACCAGTTATTAATTCCACTTAACAGAAGTCTACATTCAGGGTGAAGATAAGGCATCCCTACTATTAGGCTACAGATTTGATACTCACTTTTTATAAATATTGGAACTGACCCAAACCTACAGAGAATAAAAATATTCTGCTGGTTACTGTAACAGCTTAGAACTTGGAGAAATATTTAAGTTCATACAACAAAATTTTGCATAGTCATTTTAATACCCTGCTCCCTCATGATCTCCTTCTTCCTTAAACCCCATGCATGTGTTGTTGGTTTACTTATCCAGGATGCTGGAAGCTCAGAACTACCTCCAAGTCAAACACACCATAAAAGTCAACTACTTAGCAGTGCAGGTGAAAAAGGAAAGGAAGGGAAGAAACGAGGAACCTGCTTTCCTTACTTTAAAAGCATTTTCATCTTGCTGGGGTTTTTTTACATAATCTACCTCTGAGAAACAGCACAGCCATGAAAAGCCTGGCAGTTCAAACATTTACGTGGGAAGGTAGACTTGGGGTAAAATTTCTATGTGTGTCTTTCTTCCAGTGAACACAATATTAAATATTTAAACAATAATTAGGTCAGGGACTGCAGCTGAGGTTTCTCTCTTCATTTGTGGATGGCAAAAACAGTGCTGCATCAAGAATATTTTTGTTTCCTCTCTCTCTTTTTCCCCCTCATTCTTGTTTAATGAATATTTAATCATTCAATGTAATCATCAAATGGGAGTCAGGCTAAAATTTTTCTCCATTCCCACTCTCATCTCTAATCTAACCAAGCTCTAGGGTAACTTCTCCTCTAGAATATGGGACATAAGTGTTTGAATCTATCAAACATTGAAAGGTTATGAAAACATTTCTTCTAGTGTCTCAGTTAACTTCTCTCACTGCTGTTTTAAAAGATAAAAGCTGACCAGCACTTCACAGCAGTTGTATTTTGAATGAAAGGCAAAAACTCAGCTTGAAATAATAAATAGGTTTCAGGCATCTATTTTCCGAGCAAGTTCAGAAGTATGATGTTCAGAGTGGTGCATTAGCCTAAAAACCAATAACTAATATAAAATTATAGCATGTAAAAAATGGCAGCTTTAAAACACCTCACTTCTGCTGTAGCATTTTCTATTTCATTTGTCCTGTGGCCTATGCAAATACACACCTGACTCTTTCTGTAAATATTGTAAATGCTTTATGTCAGATCTACCTTCTGCATTAGACTGTGATCCAAATGCACCCAATTTCTTCTGTACTTTCTACTCCTTGACTCAGTTCCCTAATCTAAAACTGGGAGATTAGTATCTTCCTATGAAGAAGGGAAAATATTCATATTAACAATAAGATGGTATGGAAAAGAAGACATTTCAACATTGTGCAGTGCTCAGTTACTCTGATGAACACTCCAGCAGCTACTCAAGACAGATAATCACAAGGAAATTCAAAAGCACCTTTCCAATGATTTTCTTTGGACTTTTAGGTCAACTTTCAGAGCACCTATTTTCTACAACACCTTATAAACCTATTTTCTGAGCAGGTTTTCTGCTGTGACACATTAATCGCTGATTGTTACATTTCTGATTTTACATCCAAACAATATTCTGTACTAGTTGGTAGCAAAAAGAACAGTTCAGATGGCCCCACAGTGTTTATTAGCAGTTACTGAAATCATAGAGTCAGTTGGGTTGGAAGGGATCATCAAGTCCGACCCTTGAATGCAGAAATTACTGCCATATAATATATGTTTGTGATTAAAATTTAAACATATATGATTTGTTGTTTGGGGAAAAAAGGCATGAAGAATGTCTACTGCAACTTGTGTAGCTCTTATCTATATGAGGAGTCACAGCAAGAACAAATCTAGAAGTATACATTAGTATGCCCATTCTGCAAATTTGAGGCTGGTTCACATTGGCAACACTAGATATAATTTCAAGGACATGCTCCTTGTATACAGTCACATATTTCAAGGGCATGCTCCTTTTGGTCAGTCAATTAATACTTAACTTTTTTTTGATTAAGTATTTGGGAATTATTCCCCTTTCACACATGCAACATGAAAAGAAATACGGTGCAAAAAAGATAAAGCATATAAAAGAAAATGAATACAGAGAGGTAGACACCTATTAAAGATTTTATAGCAGATGTACAAGTAAAAGATGAAGTGGGGTCAGCAGAGGATAACGAAGATGAACAGTGCAAATTTTAAGGAGAATTATACACTGGTGGAAAGAGAAATTGTCAGCCATTGAGGACAGTCTCTGTTCTGCACTGAAGATTCCTCTTCCCAAGACGGGATACTTGCATTAAAATGCCCAGAAAGAAACCCCAGATTAGATCAAAAAATATCCCATCCTCAAGGACTGCAATATGTGTTCTATTTATTAGCCATTTTATACTGGGTAAATAACCCATACATCATGAGTACTTGATCACATTCTAGTAAACTAGATGAACACTAATTATTTATCATACAAGCTATCTGGAAGCTGTGGGCTTTCTTACCATAAGCAAATAAAAGTGTTCTCCTATACTGCAGCTCTATTTCAAAAACTCAAAAAAATTGAATTGTGTGGCTGCATTGTGGCTCCTTCAACTACTCTTTCCCATGTGTAAATTTTCTTTTTAATGTAGCCCTTCAAATTGATCCAGCACACACAATAATCTAGGATCACATTATCTAATATGCCTTCAGTAACATTTGGAAATTACGAAATAATCAGTGTAACTGAATTAAGTTAATAACTTTTGTAGACAAAAGGGCAGCCAAGGGTAGCATCTCTGTACAACTTATCTGAAATTGCATGCTACAGCTGATGCAAGGAGTAGAGATTGCACCTGGTTGCCTTTTAGCTTTGCATCCCACAGAAGTGAGCAGGAGTAAAAGGCTGCAAACTAATGCTGTCAATAAATCACTCTGTGGGAATGTGGCTACACACCATGTGTAGCTTCACTCATTAGGAAGCCTCATTTCTAAAAAAGGTAGAGCCTAGAAAATAATCATTGGCAATGAGAAACCTGTTAGTTTTACTACAGATATTTAGAAACAAAAAGTGAAAGAAAGATGGAGGAGATAAGGAGGAAAAAATCACTATCATTTTCCCTCACCAAGAAGAGTCTAATTACAGCTATTTAACAGCTCTGTCAGTGTGTGCCTTGTATCCAGAATTACTACAAACTTTTGCCAAAAAACTTTGGTCGTTGTTTTTTTTGTTTGGTTTGGTTTAGTTTTATATTAACACCAGGCAGATTAAAGTGTAATGAGGGACAAACTGGATCAGACCAAAGCTCCACTAGTTTAATATTCTGATAACAGCCAGTACTATGTGCTACACGAAAGAACAGAACCAGAGTAAATGTAGACCCTATTACATTGAAATACGTTACACTGAAATTCCATTCTATCAGCAGGAATGGAGTTGATAACAGTCTTTGGTACTCTTCCAAAACACTATATTCTTTAGTCTCTTATTTTTGCCAAGTGTACTGATGTTAAAATACAAGATAAATTTGTTTACAGAAGAGTTTGTCTCACAGAAAATGCTGTTGGCACAAGACACCTACTGAAAGCAAGTGGATTTGCTGCCCAATATCTAATTTTGTTGGTTCCTTGCCTTTTAGAGCTGACACAACCTAGCACAAGGCTCACAGGATTACTGTGTAAAACCCTACTGGCTAAAAGATGTCCTGCTCTAAACCAGGCAATGCATCACTGAGTCACCTAAAAGAAAAAAAGGTGTACACAGGCAGCTGCATAGCTTCTGACTTCAATAATATATTGTGCTGCTGTCTTCACTTTTCAATATCTTAAAAAAAAACCAATTTGGATTTGCACATCTATGGAATCTCATCCCAAGAATCTAGTTCTTAGAGTACACAGCACATCAGTAGGTTAAGAGGGAAACATGTAAATAGTAATGATGTGTTAACAATAAGAAAAAAATCCCCAAATCCTAGACTTTTTACATTAAATATAACTGTGAAAATTAATTATAATCATAATCAAAATATTAATAAAAAACTCCTTCAGATAGACTACACACAAGGGAAGAGGTAAAGATCTACCTCCAGGATATCTATCAGGACATTCTCTTCTGGCTGCTTTGTGCTCCGGACGTTCTCCAGCAGGATAGAGTAGTAAACACCTTGTGGGTCAGACTGGTACAGGTTGTATGTGTCTGTCTGGTACCACTCCTGAACAGCCACAAAAACTTGGTTTTCATCTGTACTGATTATTTGTAAATCCTGTAGGAAAATAAGATACAAAAGTACTAATTTTTCCATAATTTCTATTTTACAAACAATAATGGGCAGGAGAAGGGAAACATCTGAACATTTAATAACAATAATCTCCTAATACAATACTAATTAACATGCTATACCCCATCGTTCCTCACTGCCTTTTGACTGCAGTGCAAACCAGCCTAGTAAAGACCAAAACTTTGAATGTGCAAAAGTTGAGATCTGCTTTGACTTAAGTGGGAAATGACTTCTTGAAAAGAAGGAAAAAAAAGAAAAGGAAAAAAAGAAGTGAATGACTGAAATAACATAAACACAGCTAATCTATCAAATAATCCTCAGGTATCTAGAGAAATAAGAACTAGATAAAAAAATAGCATAATACAAAGAGGATCAGATATAATTTACAACAGTTAGACATAGGAAGTAGTGCATATCATGCACACAGCTCATGTGTATTATATATAGTATGTAACAGTAATTTATCTGTCTGTGTATATAAAACCACTTAAATATTCAACAGTAATAACATGAGAGTCAATATTCTGCATTCATTACCCAAGAATTTCAGGCATGGATTTTACAACAGCTTGCTTTCAGTTTTTCCAGCTTCTTCACTCCAAACATCTCATACAAAAAAATGTACAGCTGGGTAAAATAATTTAACACAATATTAAACAGAAGAAATAAATCAGGAAGTAGCAACACTGTACTAATCTTAGCAAACAGAATAAAGGGATGTGAGTTTGCAACAGAATATGGCAGCATAAGGGCAGATGTTGGGACCACATAAGAAATAACATCTAGTCACAGAATCTGAAAGCTTGTAAACTCTTTATGACCTTGGTACTTAACTGGGATACTGTATCCAGTTCTGGTCACCTTATTACTGGAAAAATATTAAGGCAATGGAGTGAATATTAAATAAAGCTACCAGAATGTCAAGAGAATATGAGTTTGGGATGAATTTGCTTTAAAAAAAATAAAATAAAGCAAAAAAACTACTTTGTAGAATTCTAAGAGAGAAATAAAACAAATTCTTAAGAATCCAGTAAGACTGAAGAAAATGTGAGTAACAGAGCAACACTGAATACTCACCAAAGCATGGCAGTCACACTTTAGGAAACATGCATGATGTGACTGAGGCACTTAGATTAAAAAAAAATAAATGAATAGAAGTAAAATAATACAATGGAAAGATTTTTAATAAGAACAGAAGATGGTTATTAAACACTAATAATGCAATTAAATTTAAAGTACTTTTGTATGTGTGACACATCTCAACACAAAAGAATGTAAGTGAAGTTTTCTATCAATGACAGCTCAATGCTGTTTTTAAAGACTTTCGTGTTGAACTATGTACTAAAGTAGATTTTTGTTTAGCATCCCATGAGTAGTTCTCTTTTTTCTTGTACTCAAAAATTACTCAGAAGCAGAAAGTCTGGCAGAATTGCCAGCAAAACACAGCAACTGCTCCCAAAAGGTTCTTTTAAAAGCCTCTTAAATGTACAGAATATTTCATCCCCTGTCTTAAACCAGGACAACATGAAGCTTGGTAGCCCACACTATACCACACCACATTCTATACTAAATTCACTACTTCTTTTGCAGTGTAAGGAAAGTTCCCATGACTATCTGATAATAAGGATGGAAATGAAGCAGAATCAAAAAGAATAAAGAAAGAGTTGAGGGGTTTTGTGTGAAAACCTCTAGAAAACCCTTAACCACCTGTGAAGCCAGGAGCTTTCAGCAAAATTATTATCTACATTATTATAATAAAACATTTATGCAGTGCCACAGACAAATGCAAAACTCCAGGGGTGGCAGTGGTTGCAAAGGTGGTTCATGGTGGCAGAGGTGAGAGCTGGGGGACAGGTACAGCTGTGGGTCTCCTCTGCCAGAGTGGGGTAGGAGCAGCCAAGCCATCAGAAGCAAGGTGCAAAGAGCCAAAATGTGTAGTGCACAAGGACAGGAAGATTCATTTTGGGCAGACTGTAGGGGTTAGGTGAAGAAAGGAGGGGTTGGACTGCAGAAGTTTACTGCATCAAATGAGAGTTCACTTTTCTCTTGGCAGTTACTTACCAACAGAGAAGTTTGTCTGCTCAGACTGCTGGATGCCAGCTTTGCTGAGGCAAGACCTTAACAGATCCTGGTGTTAGCAAGTGAAATTGCCCTTGCACTGCCTTGAACTTTGTTCCTTCCATTCAGAATTTACACTTCAGATTTCCAGTTCAGCCTTACAGCTATTTTCCTTTCACAGTGATTTCTTTTCCTTCAAGAAGCAAAGCAGTCCTTCAGTTATACTACCTTGCAACAATCCTGCCCAGCATTTTCTGACATAATCCTCTGGTAAAAGTAATTGACAATCTAAGAAAAACTGCAAATTTCATGCCCAATTCTTAAACTTATGTTTCAAACTCCTGGATGACACAGACTGCTGAAAATCAAGCTAAAACAAAGCTAAATAGTCATGTCAATCTTGTACTATTCCTATACCAAAAGATGAATTTAAAAAGAAGAAATTGATTGACAAATACAAGGGATGAGTTGTCAGTGTGCAAATCCAACCCTTCATCCCAGCTACCCACTGGGTAGAACAGATGAGAAGCACATGAAGAGGAGATGTCAGCCAATATTGCTAGACAGAACTTACTGTCACTGAAGAGTTAACTAGAAAGGACATCTGAGAAAAAAAAAAGAAATACCTTGATGGAGGGAATGCAAGTTTTTATTGCTTTATCTAATTCATGGACACAGATACAACCCCAGGCTGTAACCTCAGCAGATTCTATAAGCAAAGCATTTATTCTTTTATGATTTCACGCTTGGACTACTGCAATTGCCTTCTTGCTGGCCCTCCTGCTTTCTCTCTCCGCATTCTGCAGACTACTCAAAGTCCCACTGATCATCTAATTTTTCTATAATTATACTATTCACACACAATTTATTCAAAGTCATTTATAAAGACCTTCTTTACTGATGTTAGAGATCTTCAGGATTTGAAATGTTCCTTACTGTCTCTATGGAGATTTTTGTTTATCTCCAGGCTGTATTTCTGTATACATTCAGTGTTTGAGCTCTTGTACTTTCCTTTCACTTCCAAGTTCAAATGAGAGTCCATGCCCTTCCAGATGTCCCAAGGAAGAGTCCTTTTCCCAATTTGCCATAGCAGCCATGCAGTTTCCTCTGTGGCATGCTCATTCCTCCACGGACATCCCTTCTCTCACCTCCACTACTTTACTTTTGTCCTATCAAGTCTGCCATGCCTGCTCTGTTCCATGTTTTACTAGCCCAGCTATCCATGCTCTTGCCATTTGCACTTTTCTCTCTCTCTGTTTTTGCAAAGATCACAACAATAGACTGTGATTCCCAAATACCAGTATTCCCCATCTACTTTATCTCCTCTTCTTAGGTTGTAAGCTTTTGTACAGATCTGACATGCTACTTAGCAGCTGTATCATTCAAATATTTTTTTTTTAACCTCTAAGCCCCCATGAGATTTCTCTGTTCTGTTTACTATGGTGCTTCTTGTGCACCGTATTTTGCAAATTCCTTTGTCACGTTGTTTTCTTCATCCTTCTCTCTTCATTGGGTGATGTTATACCACATTAAGCACAGAAATCTGTATGTTTATCACTAAAAATATGTGGAACAACTCGTAGGTCCAAGGTAGTAGACAGACCCAGGGCCAGGAATAGGTCTACCTATAGATGCAACCAAAGAAGCCTGCAAAGTGCTCTAAAATCCACTATCCAATCAAGTTCACAGAATCATTTCCCTGTGGTTGGATGAGAGTAGCTGGAAAACAGCCCTTAAATACTGTAAACAACCACTCCAAGAAAAGCAGGACTAAATGTCTTCTAAGTCTACTTGGAGTTAAATTCTGGATATAAACTACATCTAAGGAGATGTAGGTTAGACATTGTCTAGTAGGGTCTGGTCATACACACTGAGGAAAAATGTTAAGAGAGGTAAAGTAACTTTCATTCTTGGACTTTTTAAAAACAGATCAGAAAAACATATGCCAGGACTGGTTTAGGCAGATAACCATGCTTTGGTAAAAGACCTTTCAAGATCTTTTCCATGTCTATTGTCTATGATCCTGTGAAAACAGAGGGAAGTAAAACCACACCTTATTGTGATTACTTGAAAAGTTACACATACAATTAGAAATATCATTAAAAGACAGGATTTGGGGGGTTGGGTTTTGGTTTTGAGGGTTTATTTGCTGGTTGGGCTGTTTTTTTGTGTTTGTTGTTGTTGTTGGTTGTGGTTTTGTTTTTTAATACAAGAGCTATAATTTCATAACTATGTTAAAGAGAATAAACATTTTCCAGACAAATAACTATTTCAGTTTGATAATGGAATTAAAATTAAGGACAGCTGGAGATCTGTTGAATCAGAATTACTTTTCTATAAAAAATGCTAAATGAATCATGAAAGTGATCAAAGACTGCATATTAAAAATTGGCATGATTAAACAAGGCATCCAGTGACAGGTCATATCACTCCTGCTCTCTCAGGGACTTGTAAGCTGCTATGTCTGTACCTTACATCAGTAGCAGAAAACATAATTAACAAACAAATAAACACAAAGACAGTTTCAAAGTGATACTGAAAATAATTAGATAAATACAGGACAACTTGTGCCAAAAGATGAGTACCACTTCAAAGAAACTTCATGGGTAGACCCGTTCTGTTAAATAAAATAAATGAGTCTGAGGGTGTACACATGGCATTGAATGAACTGTGTATATTCATCCATGACCAGGAGAACAAGCATCCAAGAACTCTTCCAGCAAGTACAGAGCCACAATCAAATTTTACTTCTAGAAAACACCCATACTGCTTAAGAATTATTTCTTTACTTCTAACATTGAGATACAAACTTGATTGGTCTTTCCAAAATTATCTGCTTTTAATGCAGTCAAGTCTGTTTTCACTGAAGGCTGAATGAACACGGAATCAAAAGTCAGCCAAGAAGCCCAAAACCATCAAACAATTAA